TCCATCTGAAAGCTAGCTCATTTGTTTTTCCCCACAACTCTTAGTGGGAGGCTATTCCAGAAATTCACTCCTCTGATGGTTAGAAACCATCTTCCAATGTCAAGCCTAAATTTATTCATGGTCAGTTTATATCCATTTGTCCTTGTGCTAACATTGTCCTTTAGCTTGAACAGCTCTTCTGCCTGCCTGGTGTTTACCCCCCTGATGAATTTACAGAATTCTTACCAAAGAATGTAGTTTCCTCCTAACTGTATTTTCCCCAATGCTGAAGCTGCTAAGTACATGCATGTCACCATCTCCATAGGTTCCCCTATATCTGGTCAGCTCCCTTCACGGCTCCTGTATCCGCACCTACCCACATGCCTGTGTGGTCTCTAAAATAGCAACCTCAGATCACTAAACCCTAAGCCAGGTGGAGTAGATACACAGACCAATGATTCTGGGTGCCTGACTTCAGGCCAACTACATTTCCCATGATGCACCATTTTCTCTCTTCTTGGTGAGGGGAGGACATACATCATAGGTGTCACGGGCTATCCTGACAGATGTAGCCTGGTCAGTGTGTCCTGCTCATGGAGGAAAACGGGACCATACGGAATCTGAACTAAACTCTCATGAAGCACAGCACCACCGTTATAAATTGAAACATTTTAGTTTTCAGCCCAAACAATTTTGTTTTTCATGCATTTGGTTGTCAATTAATCATCAACATTTTCCATGGAAGTTTTCATTTAGTCAAAAAATTATTTTCTGTCACCCACATTCTTTTCTTTCATATCTAAGCCAATATGAAAGACCTAATTTAAGGGGCGGGGCAAATAAAAGAATATATAAATGTTCAAGATCTGACCTATTTTGACTAGAACAACTCCCTTGGAGCCTTGACAGTCTGTCATGCAAACAGGAGATTACAGCATTTTTTTAAAACCATATATCATGCACTTGATAGCACCAAATTGCTCCAAAGGTGAATAAATATTTATACACGTTTATAACCCACAGTATTATATCATTCACTGACAGACTTCTAGGGAGTAGAAGGGAAGATATTACAGTATTTAATGGTTCCAATAGGCTCTCTTGTTTTGGCACATGATAAAACTCTTTAGGAAATTTCTTAGGAGGCTATTACTGAGCATCGCCTGTTTATAAAGCTCAGCAGCTAGGTGGTTTTGTCTTTGTCTGCCTCATAACCTCACTCCAGACACACTAGATATCTTAATATGTGTGAAACAATTACCACGTTTGTTTCAACTCGGATTTGGTTACATGACAAGCACAATGGATGCTTTCCCAGCTGGTGCTGATTTTTCCCCTTTATTTTTACATTCCCATCTAGATTTATTATCTGTTTTTAATTAACCAAAAAACAAAAACAAATAATTCTGAGCTGTCAATTCAAAATGAAGCTCTTTGGTTAAAGTTCTAAAGCTCTAGATTGGGATTTTGTGCCGAGCCTCACAGAGGCAGCACTCACAGTGCAGTGAGAAAGGGGATTAAGGCAGCTTTAAGCTTTAAACCCTTCCAATCCTGGGGTGCTCCAGGGGCTACAGCAGCCCCGAGAGGAATTTAGACAGCCCAGCATGGAGGGGAGCATTTGTCTAAGTCATGGCAGCCTTCCCTGGCTGCCCTGTCTCCACAGCCCTGCATGCTGGGGTCCTGTCTCAAAATATATTCCCCATACCCACCTCCCTACACCAAAGCAAGAGGACATATTCCGTACCGTCTGAAGGGATGGGGCAGCAAGCACTCTCACTCTATGGGCCAAGGAAGTAGAATTCCTCGCCGAGTTTCCCTGGGCTACGTTGAGTCTGTACGATTCCCGATCCAGAGCTGCATCTGAATGGCATGGTTGAGCCCTCTGGCTGGAACCTGTGTTTTGTGGGCAAGTGGTTCACTCTGAATTCTGGAAACAAAGTCTGAACCTTGGCTGATCCTGGAGAAGTTAGAAACGAGCATTTGGCAGCTCATCATTCACCTGCCCACTCTGAACCGCTGCAAACATTTCCAAGTCTCTCAGATTTGCACAAGGGACACATGGTTTCCACAATGGGCGCACAATCACAGGGGCAATGCCTTTCAGCTTCCAGTGCGTCACTCGTTCTGCTGACTGCTAAAGAGCTATTGATTCACTCCATGCCCCTTGTCCAAAATTGTATTCCAAAGCAGAGGGGCTAAGGATTCAGCAAAGGCCTAAGGGAACCGGATTTTTTTTAAATGTCAAGGAGAACTATTCAGATAGATTTTCCAGAGCTCTGAAATTGTCTATTACAATGTAGGGAAGATTCCCTTGCATCAGAGTGATTAGGTCTGAGCATCCCACTCACCCATTTAACATCTCAGGAGCATTAATGCTGTTTTTTAAATAGTTGTATAGAAAGAAAGGGAAACAAAAATACTCCAGGGTAACACAATTGTAAAGAACTTATGCAAACATTGGCAACGGGGCACACATTCGGACAGAACATTCAGGAAGAGAAAAAACAAATCAGTGACAAAATACTGAAAACAAAATCATGATTAAATGACTATGGGGAATAGGACAATTTATTCAGGGTTCCAGCCTTTTCTATTTACACTCACTGAGTTCTCCTTAAGAAGTTACATGCTTGAGCAACTGCAAGGACCTTGGCCAAAATGCACAAGCTTGATCCCCAAGATTGCACAATATTAAAACTTATTCCAGCTTTTGGCTAATTGTTGGATTCTGTTTGGGCAATTCATGTAAGTGTTAGACCATTCAGAACCATTTCCAGGAATAGAATCAGTTAATCTTACAATACTACACAGCATTTGATTGGTTGGATAATATCAGTTATGATACATTTTAGCATCAACAAACTAAAAATGTTGAACATGCTTCAAGTAAACTCAAAAACACATCTGAGAGTTGCCCAGCTACAGTTGTTGGGACCCCTGGGGATACAAACCTGTTCACATCTGTGGGAGGTTGTCTGCTGTGCGTGACTTGACTGAGTCTGAATTATGCCCCTACTAACCAAAATAAACATTACAAATAAAATTATATTAGAAATGTGGCTTACTAGGTAGAGCAGGGGAACTGAGAATCAGATTCTTTAGTGCTACATCCAACTCTTTCACTAACTCACTTCCTTCTAGCCTGACGGTTCAGGCACGGGGGTGGGACTCAGGATATTGGGGTTTAACTCCCGGCTCTGTTACAGACCTCCTGTGTAATCTTGGGAGAGTCACTTAATCTCTCTTCATCCCTCAGTTCCCCCTCTGTAACACAGGGATAATAATAGTTTCTTTCTGCCACTCTTTGTTCCTCTGGTCTCTTTTGGTGTCAAACTCTTCATAGCAGGGACCGTCTTTTATTACGTCTATGTACCGCAACTAGCATAGCGATGCCCTGATATCAGCTTGGGCCTCCAGATGCTTCTGTAAATAAACAACTAACTCACTAACTACAGAACTAATAACCACCTCCACAATGACAGCCATGTGACCCTGCACAAGTTATTTAACCCCGCCCCCTATGCCTCATTTCACTCATCCGTTAAATAGCTGTAATAATTCAGGAGTGTTCTGGGGCTTGTATAAGCTCTTTGGCTAAGACACACTAAAAAAAGCAAAGTATTATAGTGACTACCATTCTAGAATCCGATTCTGAATTCTGTGGCATTACACTGAGTTTGTCATTGACTTATTGATAGCAAGATTTGATTAATATTTCTTATAATATTAATATAGCATCTACTCCTGAAAAGATGGCAAGTTACATTATGGATCATCATCCCCTGAAAACCTTTACGTGCGGTTTAGTACTAGAATACTAATTAAAATTCCTTTAAATTGGGTCACTATTTGCCAGTTGATTTGTATTGTGTTTCTGTTAGCAACAAATTCTGTGCTCATGAGTATGTTGTACCCATTCGCAAACCTGCCAGCAGTCTCATGGCAAAGCCACTATCTGAAACAACAGCAAACTCATTATTCATACCAATTAACAGAGAAGTCAGGCATACTACCTCATAGTCAATGCATCAGTGCTATCAAGTCTGACAAAGAACTCTGTATGTCCCACTAGGGATCATATTTCCCGGTAAGCCAATTTCAGAAATAAGGTTAGTGAGGAGACAGATTTGGCCAAGAGAGTCCTCGCCTCGCCAACTGGCATTGGACAAGTTCTGCTGAAACCTTTCAGTAGCATGAGTAGGAAGTAAAAAGCCTATCCCCCGCTGATAGGAATGGTTGTATATTCACACTGAAAAAAGTATATAATCATGAATTCTTTGAACAAAGAAGTCAAGTAAATACAATGAGCAACTGTAGATAAGGATATTCATCCTCAACTCTTCATCCTTCTCTTTCTCCCAAGCTCTTGATCCCATTCTGTTTCTTCTCAAACCAGACCCAACTTTGCAGATAGGTGGGAAAAGAGCATCATGTGCATCATGGAACATAAATAAAGGGGATGCACTGCTCCCCAGTTACTAGCAGAATACATGTTCGGGGACCAACTGGGAAGCAGAAGAGATTGGGACTTGCTCCAGGCAGGAGTCCCAACTTGTCACATATCCCTGCAGCTGTAAATCCTCCCTGGTCCACCCCATGTGATTCACCACCCCAACTCTAAACAGCCAGGTCTCAGATGTCCTCTGTCTTGAAACTGAATCAAAGAAATTAGAGATGGAAAAGACCTATTTGCTCATCTTTTAGCCTATGCCCCACTTGGGCAGTACAGGAGTGTTCTATGGAGCATGTCTGTAAGTGCTTTCCTGCCCAGTTATTTAAGGACTATAATGCCTGTGGGATGAGAAGTAAGTACAGCACATATTGATTCCTACAGACTGCAGCGTGTTTCATCCTACATCCCATTTCAGTTAGAAAAGAAAAAGTGCGGATGCAAGTGAGATAATAAAGGAAGGCTGAATTTGGATCTCTATCTTCAAAAATGTATTTCATCCCATACAAGCGGTTGAACTGGTTTGTGCTCAGTTTTGACCTCCTAGATTTACTCCTTTGTTTACTCTTACCTTCAGGGGTACCACTTGCATCAGAATGGCAAAGTTGGTGAGGTGGTTACACAGGCAGATTGAATAGTTGAGGTCCCCGCCATCACGCACACAGCCTTCATTAGACCACATGGCAGTTCCATTGCTGCAAAGCACACAGGAAACAGAGAGGGATCCCTATTAAAATTAATTCTCCTGGCACTACTTAGACATGAATTTCATTAAACAGAAGATATATTTTTCTTAAACAAACTCTTTTCTAAACTTTAGCTACCAAGAATCTTCCAGGCAAATATCTGCACAAAGACCAAAGGTTTCCTTTGACAGGTCCATTTATAAACTTTGACAAAGTAGTTGTAATACTAAATATGCAGGTTAAGTCTACATTTCTGCTACAAATTTAAAGATCATTTTAAAGGGGAAAGAAATAATCCTATGCAGCTACCAGTAGAAAAAATGAAGCACGTCACAACAGCTTTTCAATGTAACTTTCAAACAGTAAAATACTCCAGAAAGATACGACACAAGAAAGAAAAGAGCTGCCTAGAACTCAATTGGTTGCATGGTATTCTTTATCAGAGCATTGAAATTCGTGTGCTGACCATGGAAGTTAGTAATCAACATTCATATTATCCAGGACCCTAATTATATCTAAATGCTCTCAGCACTGATGCTCCAATTTCAGTACATTAGAAAGTCCAAAGTTACTAACAGTTACCACTGAGATAGAGCAGCTTCTCTTTACACTTAGCACAGGAAATAATTGTGGTTTCTGACATACTGTGGAATAGTAACTGATAGTAAATGCTGACTGTTTAATGATGATGGCAGCAAATCACAGTAAACCATATTGCCTGGTGTGTTTCTAAGCCTGGAATTATGAATGGTTTGCAGCACTCGAAGTGGCAAATGATTATGTGTAGTAAAATATATTAGTCTGGGTGGCAAACAGCTGTGTGTGGTAAAAAAAATACCAACGGCCAGTTTTCTACCAGCCTCACTCTCCTTGAATACTCCCATTGATTTCAGTCGAATTATCCACAACTCAACATTCAAGTAAGCTGGGCAATATCTAGTCTGAAAAAAACTATTGTGGGATAACAACAATATATATATAGAGAGAGAGAGAGAAAGAGAGAGAGAGAAAAAGAGAGAGGGTCAAATTTAGCATTTAGTTACCTATTTTCACTGGATCTATGCCAATTTGCTGGCCCATTGGCTTCAGCGGAGCTATGCTGATATACACACTATAAAGATCTGGCTCATTGACTTCAATACAGCTATGCCAATTTACACTAGCTGAAGACCTGGCCCGTTGACTTCAACAGAGCTACACATCATTATACCAGCTGGGGATCTGTATCGATATTGTTCCTATTATACAAATGCCAAATGACTCCTTTTATTGGAGTAATCATACATCTGAGAAAGAGAGTGTATTGACGTAAATAAACCTCTCATTTAGGGAGGAGGGATTTTCACTATAGTCTTTCATCCTCAGGCAAGGCCTCCAGGGCCTAATCCCCCAGAGCACACGCTGTGGGAATGATGTCCTGAAGCATATTGACTAGTTTTAGTAAAACATGTTTCTAATTTATTATAATGTGTAAGTAAGCGCACAAGCTAGTGACTACAAACAGCTGGGACAGCTCAATGTAATAACGATAAAATTTTAATAAAACCATTACACTGATCTTGCCCAAATGCAAGTTGGAGAGGAGGTATCACAAAATTGTGTGCTGTTGCTGCACTGAGTAGTGCTTGGAATGCTATCGCTCAAAAATGTGTCAGTCCCTGCTCAGGTCTCATTTTGACTTGTTTCACAATTAATTCAGTATCAACAGCATGTTTAGAAATCACAAATGCATCAGATAGACTATTCCTGGCTACCCAAAGGTAGCAGAAAAACAGCCACTGTTTGTGGATATTTGCTGTTTACACCGTACAACTTAAGGTGATATTTATTTATACTTTTGCCCTGCTTTGCATTCAGTGGCATTTAATTTCATCATTGAATATGTACCAGACATGACTCACTGCTCTGAAATACATACCACACACCTCATTCTGATCTCATGTGTACCCAATGGGAATCAGGAGGAACTCCAGTGGAAACAATTACTTCAGCAGAAGTATGCCGATTTACAACACCCATGTTTCCGGACAAACTGATGCTTGCAAAAGACCAATACAAGTGCAACCAGAATCAATCCTATGTGCTCATCTCAACATTTTTCATTCTCTCAATAATCTGCTTTATCCCGAAATCAGTGAATAGAATGAGAACTTCCCCACCTACAGTAAGAGGAAGCTGTTTTCTCTTCCTATGAAGCTGTTTTTGTGGTAAACCCTGTGGTTTCATTGCTTTAATAATTCCCATGAACACAAGAAAAAGGGAATATTTGTCAGGTCTGGCATGCACTGACTATGTTGCATTTGCCATAAGTAACCAGTAACAATACATCTAAGAAAGACATTTAGAAGCACTTAACATACCTATAGTCCAGAAATGCACAATACAGGTTAACTTTGTTGCTTTCATTCACTGCTTGGCTGTACTGCTGAGGAGTCTGAAAGGTAAAAAAAAAATACACATCCTGAAGAAGAAAAATAAAAAAAAGAGATGCCAACATTAAAAAGGCCAAATTCTGTTCTCTGTTTAACCAGTGTCAGTCATGATTATTCCATTGACTTCAGCAGAATTATTACAGATTAACACCAGAGAAACTGAAAGCAGACTGTAGCCAATTATATTTGAGTCTTTCTGCTACACACATAGGCCCCAACCATGCAAAGATTTACATACATGCTAACTTTATGCACCATGAATAGATCCATTGGGTGAAATCCTAATCCCACTCAAGTCAATGGCAAAATTCCCATTGACGTCAATGGGGCCATCATTCCACCCATTGACTTCAATAAGACCACTCACTGTGCGTAAAGTTAAGTATGCGTGTTAGTCTTTGCAAATTTAGGACCTTATTCTTCAACATACCTTTTGGATAACTGACAAGAAAGCCAAACGTAACAAAAATTGACATTTTAGGATCAATCTCACTGACGTACACTACAGTGATCAGCAAGCATTTTCTTTTCAGAAGGGTAATTATTACTACACATATAAGCAAACTAAAAAAGCAATACCAGCCTCCAAGTTTTGCTTTTAAGTGAGTTTGGCATTTATACAGGGCCTTAATTCTCATCTCCTGCAAACAGATTAGTTGCTGTCTCAATCCTCTCCATTCAGAAAGGCTTGGGGCCACATTCTCTACTCTGTTACACCAGTGTAACTCCATTCAGCTGAAGTGGAGTAGAGAATCAGGCAAAATATCCTACCCAGAAGGATTTCAAAAGCCTGTTCCATCCTCTCCTTTTGACACTGATACACTAACATCCACCTGCATCCAGAGCCACATTAATGACATTCAGCACTGCAGTTATGCATTGGACCCCATCTCAGGATTATTTTTCATTTCAGGACTCATCACCATTAAAAAAAATGACTGGCAAATTACCAACCCTCAGATCATTACAACAGAAGGCCGATAGTGCTATCAGGACAGAAAATAAGCAAGTGCTGCTCTCCTTGTTCAGCATTTAAAAGAAATTTACAGAGAGCTAAAACTAAAGTTCATACAAGAAAGTTGCATCAGAGATTTCTGTCTTCTCTCCCACAAGACCAACCATGAAGTGTCAGGCACAGGGCAACAAAGTTACCTCCTCACTAGCTGATAAAGAATTTCCTGTCTCAGCCAGGAGAGAGAGAGCTGAATTTCCACACACTTCCACACAGCTTCCAAATTTCCACCCAACAGATAAGCTCCATTACCAAATTGCTCTTGCCCCACATTTTCTGTTCTTTTGGAGAACTTTAAAGGAACCTTCCTTTCTGTTTGAAAGATGCCTACTGTGCTCTCCAGTGATTTGATGGGTCCTAAATACAATGATTCCTCTAAGTTAATGCCAAGGTAGGCAAAGAACCACAGTCGAGGAGTAAAGTGCTATATAAATGCTAGAGGTTATTATTAATGGCACTCAAGAGGCCACTATGCCAGCAGCGGTCATCAAAAAATAGTGTGCAGATAGAGACTAGGTGGCTTAAAAAAATAAAAGATTTGCTATAACTGCAGATAAGATCAGACAATAACAATCATCATCTCTTTGTAAGATGCAAGTCTCTGCTATTAAAACAATAATCTATCTGACCTGTAAAAGGTTGGTTACAACAGGGAGAAAGTTCTCAACTGCATACATCAATTTTCAATAACTCCCCATCCAGAAAAATAAATAACCACCAATCCATGAAAAGCAATTTGACTTGCGTTTCAATAATCTATTTCTTAAGTGTAACTGAGTGCGATGACTTAGATCGTGACCTGGATCCTGTGGCAGTAAGAATATTTGATTTAATAACATTGATATCAGAAAGTTTAATATGCAAGCAGGCTTTTTTGTTAACATATTAAGTCACTTGAGTGTTGATAAAAACTTGTGAAAGGGAAGTTCGTACAGATCCCAATGGCTTGGAGGGAGCATCCTGGCACACCAGAAACCTCCGTTCTGGAAATGAGAGATTCCTGGGACTCTGATACACGATGCAGCTGGCATTCTAGGACCTTTGTCAGAGTGTGACAGTCGAGTGTCTGCTCTATAAGCAACTAGGCATATTAATTTATGGAGAAACATTAGGACTGGTCTTGAAAATGGTCAGCTGTCTTCTCTTCTGGTCAGAATGAGTGCTGCAAGGCTGTCTTACCTTCTAGAGCGGGGTTACTCAACCTCTGGGTCAGGACCCAAAATTAGGTCACCAGAATGTTTCAAAGGGTCACATGACAGCTTCTGTGGCTCCTGTCCCACAGGGCTGGCTGGGCTTGCCTCCCTGCTCTAGTCACTGCAACCTCTGGGGTCCCACTCAGATTTGGCCCAGCTGTCATGATGAAGGGAGTCCAGGTAGGCCAAATTTGAGCGAGTGGCACTAAAGCCCCATAAGCCAGGTCACAACTCCACTCACACAAATTTGCTCCAGTCAGGGCCAAACCTGAGCAGCATTGCAACCCCGGAGGTTGCAACACCCAGAGCAGAGAGCCAAGCCCAGGCAGTCCCACAGCACAGGAGCTGCAGCAGCTGCCACTGTGGGGTGAGTGTCAGGCAGGATCCAACCCTCCCAGGGGGCAGGACCCAACCAAAACCACCCCAAGGCCTCTATCCCCAGACTATTTACTGGGTCACAACAGGCCATAAACATTTACAAATGGGTCCTGAGCCCAAAAAGGTTGAGAACCAGAGTTCTAGAGACAGGGAGTGCAAGTAGCATGAAGAATGGTTCCTTTAAAGTGAAATCATGGATGAAGTGAGGGTTTAGGTCATCTGCACTGATCTTTGTGGTGAGGACAGGTTTAGCAAAGGAAGCCATACTGCAAGAAGATCTAGCATGCAAAAGCAACATACAATAACTCATACATGTGCATTCATGGATAGGATGAGCACTAAGTGGAAGCATTAAGAAAAAGCCAATGAGTATCAGACTTTGGGCTAGACAGTCCTTGGCCTTTAGATTTTGTATTGGAAAGAATGCAATAAGACTTTCCACCTTGTGCCCATGTGTAACGGCCAAGGATATCACAGTCTTTTTACATGTGGGGGGAGTGTAAGAGTTGCTCCCTCTTAAATAACCCCAAAAGAGCACGGAGGAGGAGAGTGAATGGTCATGGCAGTGGCTGTGTGTAGAGAGGGACACACCTTGCATCACCCAAAAGGATAGTGCAGCAGTTGTGTGTCGTTTCTGTGCCAGGCAGCTCAGGGAGGGACTGTGCCTCACAGGAAACAATCCCTCTGCAAGTGTGGCCTGGAGCAGTGTAGATGTACAGCATCCCTAACATGAGTCAGTGGCCCTTAGTCTTTTGGTGATAAGACCTTACCCACAACTAAGTCACAAAAAACATTGCATCTGTGGAGATGGCTTGGAGGGAGGAGGAGGAGGCGGAGGCGGAGGTCTAGGGTAATTAGAACTCTAGGAGGTAGGCATGAGGCTTAGGTTATTGGGGGGCAGGCTAGAAGTGAGGCTAACATGAATGCTGAGTGCCTTCTGGAAAATGTGTTTGCAGAAGACCTCAGTACTACACAACTGCAAAAGAATAGAGCCAGCCAGCTGTCTGCTTTGGAGAATTGCCAACGAAGGGGAGCCAACCAAGGGGAAGGGAGAGCCTTTGTGAGAATAAGTTTCTCTTTTTTTTCCTCTTTATTTTGAAGAGCAAACACATACCAAGCTGAGTTGTTGTGGCCACAAAGCAAGGAGGAGACAGCCTCCCCCTTCTGTACTTTTACTCCTGTATTAAAGAAAGGAACTTAGTGGGCCTGATCCTCAGCTGGTGTAAATAGGGATACCTCAACCCAAGCATACTGAGCTAGGTGATCAGCTGGTGTAACTGGGTGTAGCTCCCTGCAGTTTTAATGGACCTGTGCCCATTTACACCAACGAAATATCTGGCCCATTAAGGTCCCTTTGGAGTTCACTCATCCCTGCTTACAAAGCACAGCATTTCCTCCAGTTTGCGGATTTCCTGTGTTCCTCACAACCTTCTCATCTGTCACCAGTACATACACATGACCACTTCCTTCTCCTCCATATAACCACCTGTAATAACATTTTCCTTCACATTCTTTCTATTGCCCAGAAAAATAGGAATCTCAGACCGCACGTATCCACCCATTGCACCAACAGCGCAACAAAGAGTTCAGAATAATCATCCAGTCATCGGCGGGCTATGTTCTTTCCAGATGAGAGATATTTTAGAGCTGAGAGATGCGCAGTGTATCAGCATCTGGGCTGAGACCACCAAGCTAATTGGATTTACAACATATTTGACTGATTCACCCTTAGAAATAAGATGTGCACATCCTGGAAAAATTAGATCCTCCCATTGAAATGTTTGTAGGGTCTCTTCTACAGTTGAGATTAATTTACTAAACACTAGGACTTAAAGTTCAGCTCATGTAAATCAGCACAGCTCCATTGGCATTGATGCAACTATTACGCCAATGCATACCAACTGAGTTTCTAGGCCTAATGGATTTTAATATGCTAATGAAAAAGTTTGGCGAGGTCGTCAACATTAACATTTCCTCAACCCATTTCTTAAGACTACAAACATCGGTTTAAAAAATCCTAGGACACAGCCACGCATTGAAGCCTGTGACAGAAAAGTAACAGAAGGAAAAAGAAAACCTGATAATGAATTATTAGAAACTACAAAAACATCTGGAATTAGAACAGCTTGCCATAATATTGAACATAGATTGTTTTCAAATTTCCCTTTGCCTGAGGTAAGAACCAGTCAACACATCACATTTCCACCAGAAGTTCTGCTCATAAAATGCTATACCAGTGGCCTTGCCTGGTTCCCTGAATTCCACATTTAGCAGCTGCTGTATCAGGAGGGCAACATGCACAAATTGAAAAGTGATGACAAGATGTGTGGGTAGTGGAATGGAAAACATCTTATCAGTGTTCTGTACCAGCCAGTGTCTCAGGTTGGAAAGGAAGAAAAAAAGGAGGGGATGGGGGCAA